TTTCTTATTAAATACACATTCAGCACTAGCGTTGATTAATCCAATAACTATTGAATTATATTTTTCTTTAATAATTCCCATTAAATTAACATTTCTCATAATGAATGATTTTGTTAGTAGAATATTTAATGCCTCACTACTCTCTTCATTAATATGTCTGTTATGATGTTGATTTCCCCAATTGATTAAGTCGATTAAATAAAACATGTCTTGTGGATTAGATGCACAAATCACCTCTGAACAATATTCAATAACAATTCTAATGAATGAAAATAATGCTTCTCTTATATCTGGATAACTAATATTATCTCCTTGTATAATTTCAATAGTCTTTTCAATGATATAATGATAATATACACTTATTTGCTTTTTACTTTCTTCTTCAAGTTCATTAATAAGATGATAATAAATCCAAATTACTGTACTATCTCGTTCTTCTTTGTTTCTTATACAATATCCTTCTATAATTATTCCATTATATTCTTCAATAAATTTTCTTCTTTCTTGATTTGTTATTATTTTAATATAAGTAATAAGTATTTCATTAATTCTTCTTGTTATTTCAATAAAACTTCTTCTACTAATATTCTCTTCATTCTTCTCTTTAAGTATTTGATTAATCTTTTTATAAATAGTCATTAAATTATCAACATTTTCTTTCATATATTCTTTATTAGTTGTATTTCCTCCTTTAAAATACCATTTTATTCTTTCAATACTTTCTATTACTTCTTTTTCATTAAAAACTTCTTCACTCATTAATCTTTTTATATTTCGTTTAATATTTTTTACTATCTTTCCAATAACTAATTCTCCATATTCTTTCACCCTTTCTATTGGAAGATATTTTGAAATAATTCCAAGACTTTCATATATTTCTTCTTGTTCTTCTTCATTTAATATTTTTATTATTCCTTCAATTCTCTCAAAATTCATACAACTAATAATCCCCATTTTATAATAAACTATTCCACAATTATCATGTAATTGTTTTAAACTAATTATCACTTTCTTTCTAATTTCTCCTTCTTCACTAATGATAATTTCTTCCATTTTTTTAATCATAATTTTTAACATTTCATTACTTTTCATCATCACTTCATAACTACCATCAATTATTTCAAGAATCCCTTCAAAAAGTTTAATTCGATTTGTTTTATTTTTCTCTTTGTCTATTTTATCCATTAAAATATCATTTATTTTAACAAAAATTATTCTTCTAATTTCAATATCATATTTATTCATTGTTTGTGAAACATAATAACTCATTGACTTGATTTCTGTACTGTTATTACTTTGGATTATTTCATCAATCATCTTCTCTATATACATTGGTTCAATATCAAAGATATAATTAATAATTCTTTCTGTACATTCATTAATTAAACTTAATATATCTTCTACTTTTCTCTTTCTTTTCATTCCTTTTTCAATTACATCTATTGCTTCTTTCTTTTCTTCATGACGTTTAATGATTTCTTTGCCAATAATCAAATGATATTTTTCTTCTCGTTTATTTATTGTTTCATTATTCTTTCTCAAATAAAATTCAATCCCATCAATGATATTATAATAAATTTCTTTATCCTCTATTTTCATACAATTTATTAAATAATTAATTCCTTCCTCTATATCTGTTCTTCTTTTCATAATATCACTACATTTTATTAATTTAGTGATAATCATTACTTCTTTCATTATATTAATTTTACCTTCAATTCTAAAACTTCTTTCCTTTATTTGGTTTATTTTGTTACTCTCTCTAATGTACCTCATAAAATACCATATCATCTCATTGCCTTCTTTAGTTCCTTCAATTAAATTATATATACATTCATTTCCTTCTTTCTCAATATTCTCATTTATTCTTCTTTGCATAATATTAATAATTCGCTCCATCATTCTCATTTCTTTCTTTTCTTCTTCTGTCATCATTTTGATATACTCTTGTACCGTTTTGAGACTATGTTCAACCATTTCATTGTTCTCACTACATTCACTTACTTTCATCAAATATTCAATAATTTTCTTTCTATGTTCTCCAATATCAATTCTTCTTCCAGTTATTCTTGTTTCTTTCTCAATTTCTTCACTCAATATTTCAAATATATCAATTGAATTTTTGCATTTCTTTTCATTGATAAATCCATTTCTAATAATATCTTCACTGAATGTAAACCATTTTGTATCCCATTCTTTCATAATAAATATTACAATAATTTCATTCATTTTATTAATCAATCCATATGCTTCTTCGTTACACACTTTATTTATTTGTTCATTAACATATTCTTTTATTCCTTTCTTGGTTTCTTCTCCTATACTATTCCATCCATACTCTAGTTTTCTCTTTAAAATATCCATTGCATAGATTTTTGTTATTATACTTTGACTTACTTCCATTATTCCTGGAACTTTTAAGTATGTATCATTCCTATTGATAAATTCAAGTAATATCATTTGTGCTTTCTTCATTTCTTCAATGTCTCTTGTTTGAATGGCTGTGTTAATGACTTTATCCAATAATGAGACATCGAAAGGAATATTCACATTCAAGATATTCTCCATTTGTTTTCGTTTTGTTTTTTCTCTTTTATTTTTTTATTTTTTAGTTTTTTGTTTTAAAAGAGGAAAATACAAAAAGATAAAAATAAGTGAATGGGAATTTTATTTCTCTTCATT